TGATGGTCTGTGTTGATGCGTAAATCGAGCAGCGTAGGTGCGTGCAGTGGATGGTGTGGTGCTAGCAAGTAATCGTTGTCCTCCGCCACGCATTCACCACCTCAATCGGGCGGGCTATCGTGTGCAGCAAGTGTGTAATCTAAACGATCATTTGCATCGCTCGATGTATTTCTAATTGTTTTCTGCCGCCGCAACGGACGCGAAAATTAAAGGCTATTCGGCCCGAACCGAGTGGCGCGTTCCAGAGGAGGAACGAACTGAGCTGTTGGGGCAGAGCAGAAACGACGACATCAGTTGATGTTGCGTGTGTGGGGTTTGTGGGGTGGTGCTTCAAGCGGCAGTCGGAAGCTGTCAGCCCATGGAGAAGGAGTCGGCGTTGGGCATGATGTCCTTCTTGCAGTACTTCTCGATCATGTCCTTCAACAGGAGCATGCGCGTACGCTGTATCTTGCCCTTGAAGCCCGGAGCGTGCAACGACGCTCGCTCGGCGTTCACCACTGCACCATCAGGCATCAAAAGAAGAAGAAGGAAACATCAGGCCGAGTGTACACAGAGCATGAAAGCAATGCTGGCCAGGCGTACGCTTGGTCATGAACCAGTGACGGAAGGCTTGATTCTTCTCAAACACTGGCGGGTCTGGCAGAAGAGGCGCATACGACCGCACGCCCACTTTGTCGGCAAACCCGATCTTGTAGAATGTCTTGCCGTCGTCCTGTGGTGATGCGTGTGGTTGCACCACGACGAACGTATCTGTAGAAGAAGAAGAAGAAGAAGAAGAAGAAAAAGTGGCGGTAAAGTATGAGAGTTGCTCTGAGGGGTGTGATGGGCAGTGTGGTGGCGGTGGTGGAAGCTACGATTGAATTCTGATTTGAGGAGGCTTGGAGAGAAGGGCGTGGATCCGTCGACGAAGATGATGACCACGATGTCATTGCCCAGATGTCGCTTACGTTCGAGCTGGTGATGATCGTGAGCGCGAGAGTGAGCACACAATACAACTCTCTCACTGTTCGCTCGTTGCGTCTGGTCGTACCTGCTGTTCGTCTGCAGGGTTGAAGGGCAGAAGTGTGGATACGTGGAACATGATCTCGAAGTCCTTGAACCGGGTATGTACACTGTGTGTTCCCGTAGAGTCCCCTGCAGGGCACCTCGATGTCAGTTCTCTCTCGCTCTGGGCTTGCTCCCCCGCCCACGCGCAACACACTCTATGGGCGGCGAGCGTACTGTTCACGTCGAGGCCGCCTCGGAAGCCCTTCCAGTCCCGCAGCACGATTCGGTTGCCCAGGAACTCGAGGAACTCATCGAAGGCCGCAGAGGTCTCGACTATGGGCAGCAAATAGGACTGATCAGCAACGCATATACATTCCACACCGCGCACTGTCGCCCGCTGTGTCTTGTTTTGTGGTGTTGCTGATGAAGAGAGACGAAGATGAAGATGAAGATCTGATGTGTGCGTACCGTTGGCGAACATCTCGTTCTCCTTGGTCTGGCCCTCCTTGACGTAGAGGATGCCGAACTTGTAGTTCTTGGCAATCATCTTCCGTTCCATGTCCAGCAGATCTGTGTTGAGCGCGGGGTCCTTGACTTTGGAGAACTTGGCGTTGGCAAGCACTGGCGTATGTGATCTGTACCGCCGCACCGCGTCAAACGACCGTTTGCCAATTGACAAAAGAGCAGCAAGAAGAAGAGGGCCAGTAAGCAGCGCGAGCACGCACTTCAGAGACTTGATAATCTCTGCGGGTGAGGACGTCGGTGGCACCGATGTTCGCGCAATTCCCTTCTTCGTTCGAACGAGCACCAGATTGCGATCGCTGTCATCCTTCTCTCTGTTGCATGCCGCACACAAAAAAGGAGTCTTGTCGGTTAGAGTCAAACCGGTTCCACTCGAGAGAAGGCGCGAGCAGGTACCGCA